AGGTTTTGTTTGGTTGCTTTGTTAAAGTAATGCGTCTGGAGCTGAGAGACTAAAGATGATTAAAGAAAAGGCAATGAAATTTCTAATTCAAATACCTTGCTATTTTTTCACAAACACAAGAAATCATCATGGAAAGCTTTCCGCCTCTTCAGTGAAGCAGATGACATGGGAAATTAGTGTCACAGGGCACCATTTTGTGTATGTGTGCATGTGTGTATGTGTGTGAAAGAGAGACTATGAGCAGACAGACTGACTTTGTGTTACACATGTTAAAACTCAATGAGAACAACCTCGTTCAGCCCCGCTCCAGGTCTGTCAGGACCCAAAAAGGAGCTGAGGGGAAAGTAATACCAGTCCCCAAATTATTCAGTAAAAATTTCTGTGTAAAGTTATTGAGTATGCTACACTGCCAAAAGGCTTTATGAGATCCTACAGTGGAATGCAGGTTGAGACCAAGTCACATTTTGTGAGATTTGCCTTACTAATAACCTTAAAATTGGGTTTATAAACATTAGAAAAATGTAGCTCCCCGGAGAAAAAGTCAGAAAATCAAACTGTGCAGAGGAGTGTTTTTCCTCCAAAAGATCAACAGCTAAGGACCACTGGACTCACTACTTCCTCCCCTATGACACTCTCATTTTCTTTTCCTCTCTGTGAAGAAAATGGTCCAGACCAGGGGCGGGTACTGCACCTAAACAATGTTATGGTCCCAACTAATAGTGTCCAGAGCAACGATTAACAGAAACTGAATGAGAGCACTAAATGTCTTGGCAGAATCGTTAGTTTTAAATCAGATATTTATTGAATTTATATCAAAATTTCGCCAGCCAAAGACAGTATTTCATACAGACAAAGCTCTTTTCTGGTTCCTTTCTGATGGCTAACAATTAAAATCTAAGAGGTTTCGTTTTTGTTTACATTTCCAAAAGTAAGGTAAACATCTTGTACGGTGTACTGCATCGTTTATCGAAACTCTGGAGTCATATCAACACATGCAGTCACAAGACTTAGAATCTGTGAAGACCAGAGTCTTGGTGAAGCTGTATTTACAGCAGTGCTTCAAGCTGAATGCTATCGTCACTATGCTAACATGCTCACAGTATTGATGCTAACATGCTGATTTTTAGCAGGTAGCCTACAATGTTTACAATGTGCACCACGTTACTTTAGTGTGTTAGCATGCTAGCATTTGCTAATCATCACGAAACACAAAGATGAGGCTGATGTAGATGTCATGAGTTCTTTAATTATTCATTGCCTGTAACCGCTTATCCTGTTAGGGGTTGCAGGGGGGCTGGAGCCTATCCCAGCTGACACTGGGCGAGAGGCGGGGTAGGCTACACCCTGGACAGGTCACCAGACTATCACAGGGCTGACACATAGAGACAACCATTCACTCTCACATTCACACCTATGGTCAAAGTCACCAAGTAACCTGCGTGTCTTTGGACTGTGAGGGGAAGCTGGAGAAAACCCAGAGGGGCCTCCCAGAGGGGCTGGTTCGAACATGGAGCCCTCTTATTATGAGGCAATGGTGCTTACCACTGCACCACCATGCCACTTGAGAATCTCATCATAGTAAAGTACTGGACAAACTGATATTTTGACCTGACATTGGATGATGATGAAAAGTCAGGAGATCATTTAAGTTATCACAATCCATACTGAGGGGAAAATTTGTGTCTGTACAAAATATGATGGCAATCCATTTTATAGTAGTTGAGATGTTTTAGTCTGGAGCAAAGTGGTGGACAGACCGACTGACACTGTCATCTAGAGAGCTGTTAGCATGACTAATATATTTGAAACAAAATCCTAGTCGGGATCTGTAGTTTACCTTCTTATATCAAAAATGTTATGAGAAAAAAAGCAGAATCAACAGAATAGAGTAGAACTGAACCCTGGGGATATTTATCACCCTAATGAAACAATGATAAAGTGGACTGTGCTCATTGCACATTGCTCCCAAGGTGCATAATCAATAAAAAAATAGCCAGCCTTAAATATCTCCCCTGTATCCTGTTAACAAATATACACACCTTGGGAGCATTAAACAATGTTGGACTTCCTCCGCTTTATAATTCACTATTTTGATTAATCTTGGCAATTATGGCTGAGGACTGGGATACGTGCTTTTCAGTTCTAATTTATTTTTGTTGGCCTGGCCTGGTGACTTTTACAAATTGGGCTGTGTCCACTTTCAACAGACTGTAAAACGGTAAGAATTAATAACTGCAATTCAAACAAGCAAGAAGAGACACTGTGAATGTCTGTGCAGTATCAGCCTGTGAGAGGAAAATTGTGGTTTACACAGCGTCAGCCCCCACTGGCCAGTTTCAGAGACTGTTGTTGGACGTTGGTTTCAGCACAGTGCCACACTGGTATTCACACATGTACAACAGCAAGACACAAAGCCAAGGTAATAAAGTTTAGATGTGGTATTAAACTAGAAAATATTTTCTGTTCTCATTCTCTCTGTGTCGCTGTTGAACTCTAAACACCAGGAATAGAAACAAAGGAAGGGAGAGAAGGAAGGAAAGGCTATAGATAAGTTTGGGTAAGGTCAAATGAGCTGTGTGTGTTTGTGTTTGAGGTGGTGAGGGGGGGTTAGGTATCGCTGAAAGTTGGAGTCTGATGTTTCGCTTAGTGCGGTAACCACTGCAACAGTCTGTTGGTGGGAGTTTTGGAGGGGGATGCTCTTGACTGTTGTTGACATTAACCCCAGCTGACCTCTGATATATGTACAGGAAAAAAAAAAGCCCTCAATCTCACGCCTGTTTCTGGCTTTTCCTTTGTGTGACTGTGAATTTGTAGGGAAGCTTGGAAGTGTTGCAAGAAGTAAAATACGACTCAGGTGTGCTTTCAGCTGGGATGAAGCTTTTAAATAGGTCTGAACCTGAACGGAGAGTTCAGAGAACACATCAATAAGAAAGCAGACAGAATCTTTCAACAAGTCATTAATATTGAGTAAGTTGAGGTCAGTCAGAAAAAGGTCATGGTGGACAGATACTTTACAGACATGTTTTGGCTGCAGATTACACAGCATCAGTATTGAGTTCATAAAAGAGTTTCTGATCTCACAAAAATTCTTAGTTCAGTAATCACTTTTTTCCTCTCCTTCTGAGCTGTAACATCTTTTTTTTCTAATACTGAAGACATTTTCCTGTTTTCATCTTTCAGCCTGTCTGATTTTTAACATGATAATTGGCTTCAAAATATGGAGACCGTGTTCCTGTTTTATCCACAAATTCACTCTGTGTCTGAGATTGGACCAGAGGTCTACAACACCCACAGTAATGTCCAGAACACTGGAACAAGCTGGAGCTGCTGCAGAGTGGATAGACTGGCAGCTAAAAATACACAGCATGGAAACTCCTCTTGAATCAAACAATGAATTAGCTCACACACACACACATAGTAAAGCCTCCTGGCAGGCAGTGTTAAGTGAATAAACAGGGGATAATTTTTGCTCCAGGGTGGACGGATAATGGGGATATAGCAGAGGACGTTATTTTAACTAAAAACACAACCTTTACTATTACAGGAGCTGTGCGGCAGGAGTAAAGATTCCATACACAAGGGAAACAAGGGAAAGGCTCTCTCTCTGCCACTTTCCTCTCGAGGCGGAGATGAAGAGCGACACTCTGTCTCTGCTTTTACTGTTGTTGTGTCAGGTTTGTTATATTCTCGGATCAGCATACCCACAGCCAAAAAGACAAGATGGATACAAATAATCAATCACTTCTCCCCGGGATGTGGACCATTACACCAGTGACAGTTATGCAGATGTTAATGTAGCACAAAGCAAACATTCTGTTGTTGCTGCGATTAATTGCATTTTAATGTGCCTTGCACACTGATTTAAACTGTTAAACAGACGTGTGTTTGAGGTATGTGCCAACCAATCAGAAACACATTTTCCATGGTACTGGCTGATGCTAATTTATCATATGATGTCCCCCCAAAAAAGCCATATCTGTGTTGTTTAACGCACTACTAGAGCCTTTGGCAAGATCAAAAAACATAAACACTTACCTCCTTTGCACCAAATTTATTACCTCGACAACGGTGTATATTTTTTCGGTTTGCTTTGTCTGTTTGTCAGCAGGATGATGGGAAAAACTACTGGCCCAGTTTTAATGAAACTTTGTGGAACGCTGTGGCATGGGCCAAGCAAGAACCCATTACATTCTGGAGCGGATTCGAATCACGAGATGGAGACACAAAATATTTTTCACTTTTGTTAACATTGCAAGATAGGGCATTTGGCCTTGGCAGAGCTCCACACGCTCCAATTGCCCTCCTAGATATCTAAGCTTTCGCCAAGCTTTGACAATAACTTTGGTGCAAATGCGATGCAGATGTTTGATCTTCTTTCATAGCCATTTTTGCTTCTAGCACCTTTTTGTTTTCTGGTAGTGTGCACTGTGAGAAAGTTTTGTTAAATCACTGAGAGAAGTACCTGCCTGTTCTTCATGGAATCTATTTGCTCACACTTGAGGACAAAAATCCTGTCCCCTAAAAATCATCAAATCCTTTTATAGTTAAAGTAAGACTTTGCCCTGCATGTTTTTTGCTCTTTTTACTGCTAACTCTGGTGTTGTTTTGGGTGGTGCTGCACCCGCTTCTTCTCAAGTGCAAGCAATGAGCATCACTAGTAAGGCGTAACAAGGTCACCTCAAGTAACCAGTAGAAGTTGCTCATGCAGCAAAAGAAAAGGAAAAGAAAAGAACTGTTAGAGGTTTACCACCCAGGAACACGGCCAATTGTGTTCAACTGAATGAACTACACAGTCAGAGTTACTGGTACCACAAGTTGAACCCCTGGTCATTACTCCTACACTGAAGACTCAGTCCTGGGGTTATGGATGGCTTAATTAACAGGGGTAGGGTTGGCCATAAAGTGATTAATGTTTGAGTAAGCCTTTAGGGAACTGAATGAGAGTCAGTAAAATGTCTTTAGAAGTGTAGTAGTAAAGGTTTGTGTGTATGAGTACTTACCTGCGCACAGCGTCTGTGGTTTTCACACCAAACCAGAACTTGGTCACTCTAGAAAGAGACGGAGAGGATGATGATTAAAACAAACACAGTGAGAGAAATAAATCCTTGACAGACAAATCCTGTGTTTGACACACTCTGCCCACATGACCCATTCGTGTGAGACTGCTGTCTGACATGCAACAAGACAGAAAGCTAAATATTGTTAATAAAAGGTCATCGTAACCAGAGCAAATCTGACATGCAGACAGACGCACACTCAACCTTTCTCTTATTTACATAATTATCCTCTGGGTGCAAAATGACTTAAGATACTGTGTTTGTGGTTGCTGAAGCAGACAGAGACCGCGTCACTTGGTGAGATGTATGTTTATGTGTGTGTGTGCGTGTGTGGATAGTAACTGCTAAGTGAGTCAAGACCACCAGTAAATATGGCTGCTATAACCACTGTGACAGGGAGAGACGTCATCTCATGACCACAGGGACAGAAATACAGATAAACCAAACGTTTCAAGATTTGTCTTCCATCCAAATAAAACACCTTAAAAGAAAATTGTAACTATCCATATTTGGTATTGAATGCACAAGGCCACACCTTTTAATAATTACCAAAATCATATAAAACCATGGTTAAGATAAGTGGTAGCCCCTGTAATAGGTTCACATCTCCCATTAAGGGTTGGAATTTATGATTATTTTCATTATTAGTTCATGTACTAATTGTATTTGAAATTGTTTTGTTTATCTGAAAGTACAAAACACAAACATATTCAATTACAATTACGTAAGACAGAGTAAAAAATATTAACATTTGAGAAGCTGGAAGTTAATTACGTGTTTCGGCTAGATAAATTAGTTAAAGAACTGATTATCAATCATCATCATCTGTAATTAATGTCTGTCAACTGATAAATTAACTAACCATTTCTGCAATAATCCATCTTGGTTCCATAGAGTGGATGCTACATTACATTTTTTCTTTTAATTTAACAGTTTTTAGGAGATTTCGGATCATGTACGCGGTTTAAATGCAGACTAAAAACCTTGTCAGCTGTTTCTAACTTGCACTGGTGAGAGAGTCAGTCAGTGTGGCAAAACTGCTGCTCTTTGCTTTGTCATCATTCTGCACAATCATGATGCCATCATCCAACATCAAAACAACTATTACAATACTGGTGTGTGTGCAGTTGTGTATCTGTCTGTTGCCATGTGTGTGTGTCTCCAGGGAGTATATGAGCCTCTAGTGTGTGTAAGTGTGTGTGTGTGTGTGTGTGTGTGTGTGTATGTGGGATAAGCCCTCTTAACGACTCCTAAACCCTCTCCTGAGCGTGCTGTATTTAGCTGAACCAAGCTCATCTCTTTCCACACAGACACACACACACACTTTTCAGGGCTTGTCCTCGTTGTGCTTCTGGTATGATGAGGGTTAAGGGGTTAGAGTTGGGGTAACAGTGCAGAGGTTAAAGGGTAGAGATTAAGGGTTAAGGGCTTTCACGGTACAGGGGATGCTGAATTGACTCATTCACTTTTAACATTTGAAACAGATGCATATTGACTTTTTTTGTGAAATAGCTGCTAAAGAAGCTAAACAGCAATTTGATATATGAAGATTAAGACCTACTCCCTGATAAACCCTATGGAAATGTTGCATGTAGCAGCTAAAAGAATTTACTATCAGTAAAACAGCCAAGAGGTTTTTTTTGTTTTTTTCTTAAGTGAGAACAAGATTAAGGCCATGTCTTGTCAGACTGGACAGTATAAAGCTTCTCTCTAACTGTGAAATAAAGAGTGCTGCCTCTCACAATTTTGTAAATTTCCCAAACTGAAAAACCATCAGTCACGCCTGCTTTCTGCAGAGAGTGGCCACTGAGCATATGTGTGAAAATGGTCAGAGCTCCAAGTTCTCCACAAATTTTGTTTGCCTCATTCCTCTCATACTCTCACCCCTGTCCACCACTACAGCTGCGTACTATTGCCTTGGTTGTCCAGCTGCTGGGCAGCAGCGAAGAGGTGGTTAGTTTTCGAGAGGAGACACAAGGAGTGCCATCAAAATCAGGATCAAGTCCTGAACAGAGGCCACCACAAATTTGTTAAAACTCTTAGGAAGCTTTCACATTAGGGACCTGGGCCCAGATCCGAGTCCACTTAACCGCAAAGTCCAACTGCAATTAGTGTGAACTCTGTGTACTGAACCTGAGCACAGTTCATCAGTCAGTGCCTGAGTGCGAATAAAAAGGTGGTCTTGAGTATGGTTCACGTGTACTCGGGTACAGTTCGCATTACGTGTGCAAACAACTGTTTGTGTGAGTAGAAGTTGTCGAGTATAATTGCAAAGGCAGCTCTCAACACCACCAGTCTCCTCCGAAATCTTCATATGTGTGCAGCACACATATATCTCATCCCCTGACTGCACGTCCATGTAATAAAGTAGGAAAACAGGAGAAAGGGACGTTCTTGACATTGTCTCCAAAACATGAACAACAGTAGGCATAATGCAAAGCTTGACTCAACTGTATGGGCTTGGAGTCTACACTCTAGTGACAACATGAACAAATGTCACATAGATGATGACGCGTGTGTACTATAGAACTGAAAAATATTACTAATGTGAAAGCTGAGCAACAGGGAAGTGGAATGTAAGGTAAGGTAAAACTTGAATGTCCCCAGAGGGGCACTTTGGGACACACACAGTAGTCATAAGTAAAACAAAACAGACAGTACAATACATAACACACAGGTTCCATAATCACACACAGTCAAGGATAAATCATGGACAAATCAGTGGTCACCGCTGGTTAAGATAAGTGATAGCAGAAAAGGATGATCTGTAACGCTAAGTGCTATATGTGGTGAGGCAAAACCTTCGTCCTGATGGAAGCATCTGAAACTCAACATGGAGGGGGTGTTGAGAGTCTGAGTGAATTGACCGAGCTCTAGAGGTGACCTTCTCTTCATAAAGATGCTGTAAGTTATCACAGTGGAGAGAGAAGGCAGTCAGATACGGTATGAATCATACCAAATAAAAAAAAACTACCTTAGTCTCTGAAATGGTTGTTAGGCACAATGGGCCTTTTCCCAGCAGACATTTTGACTTGCCATTGTAGAAAAAGCACAGGTGTTACTGATAACATCAACAATGTGTCTATTGTTGTCCTACTGTGCTCTATTCAAGTGCTAGTAAGCCGTGAACCTGAGCCAGCATGTACAATACCAGGATGCTAAATGGAATTTAGCCATCATTTGTTTTATTATCTACACCTGTGCTTTTCCTACTCTTGGATGTCAAACTGTCCCAGAAGACCTGTCTAATACAAGTGTATTTCTGTCCCATGCTACTATGCCTTTAAGACTAAATGACTATTGATGGCTTGTCTTAACAGTAATCTGTGCTATTTGTTAAACAGGATAATGCTGGGGCTGATGCTTCCTATAGAGATAAATTAGAGAGGGAAGCAGAAGAAGGCAGTGAAGCATAAAAGTAATGGTTAAATCTCTGATGCACAAGTCTGTGGGGAAGGATGGATGGAAAGAAGAATAGATGAAAGAAGAAAGTGAGGAGCAGCTGTCATGGTACCACTACAGAGACAGAGAAACACCTTCCTCCCCTGCCCTCCTTTTCTTTCTTTCTTTCTTTCCTCGTGTCGTTGAGGCACTTCCTGACTACACAAAACTGACATTGCCAAGGCGCAACTGATTTTCAATTCCTGCTCTCGAGCATTCAAGGGATGCAGTCAAAGATATTGTGATTTCTGATTTTGGCAGAAGGATGCTTAATTCAACTAACCACCCTTGTGAGGCATACATTCTTCTTCAGTCTTTCATTCTTACCCTCTAACTCCTCCTCTTAGTCTCCACAGACATTGCTGTCAACTTCTGTAAAACTGACAGGAGAGGACTTGAAAATGATGGTGATGATATACTGTAGATGTGCCAGTCAAAGAACTGAGGACAGTTAAACATCTCCAGATTTTCACTGATGAGATATAAAGCAGCTTTCCCCGCTGCTGGCCTCCCATCTTCATCCCGTATCTTAATCTTTTTCACGCTCTCTTTCTTTTCCTGTCTTCCTCGCCATAAGATCCCCCTTTTTCTGTCACTCCTCCTCAGCCCCCTCTGCGACACACACATTAATGCATGCACACGTGGATGTACACATACACAGGCTGATCCCAAGTCAATTTCATGGGACATATTTGCTGTCAGAGCCAATCAAGGCAGTTTAGATGGGCCTGTGTGCCGTATGGCTATTAAACAGTGGTCAGAGTGGGGTTTCGTGGGGTCTCAGAGTGTGTGTGTGTGTGTGTGTGTCTGTCTGCAGCAAAACAGCTGCACATGTTGGAAAAGTCGGGGAAAGAAAGGGAGGATTGGAAGAAGGTGACTAGAAGAAGAGAAAAGAAGTTGGATGTAGAGGGCTTAGAGGAAATGGGAGGCAGGGAGGAAGTTGAAAAGAGCAGAGGGAGGCAGACAAAAGAAGGTGAAAGATGGAAATAAATATTAGTTAACAGGGGGAGAGACTGGAAAGGAGTGGATACTAGTTGTGAAACAGGACGCAATAAATTTTGTCGACTGCTGTTCGTCTGGCTTAAGCTTAGTCTTCGGAGTTTTATTAATAGCGAGCCAACTTCTTAAAGTCCATTTTCATCCATACTGGAAAACCATTTAAAAGCTAACAAATTTTCATTGTGACACTTTTGACTTCTGGTTATGGATGAAGTTGTATGTGATGTGTTTATTTGCAACAAAAATAGTGTCTTTAATTATTTATAAATCCTAAAACCTATATTATGACCCACAATTTGATCCAAAAGCTTTTGTGCATTTTATGTTTCATGTACCATAAAAAATCCTCACACTATAGCTCACAAGATACCTTGCATGAAATATATCAAGAGAATTTTATTCCAACCCAGTTTATGATCTATGACTTAGAACAAAAAACAGTGCAAACATCCCATTTCATTTTAATGATGGATTTCCACACGGCTGGATTTCATACCAACATTAAAAACACAGGGTCTTAAAGTTTTCTCTATCCTGGGATTCGCAAGAGA